ATCAAAACAAATAGGAAGTGAAATTTAATCCGATATTACTTTTTTAAAAACTACGAAAAAAACATATCATATTAGGTGAACAAAAAAAAAATTGTTGAAAATGTAGAAAGATTATGTGGTATTTCCACACCATGTCTTCCTACTTAAAAATTCGAAAGTTGAAAACTTTTTTATGCCCGCCCGTGTTCTTTAAATTTTTACACAAATAAAGTGGTTGCTTAAGATTGAACATATGTTTGCAATTACGTCAAATCATTTTTTACCTCTTACAACAAATTTATTTGAAAAATATTTTTGAAATTTTTGGCTTTTGCAATCATTTCGATATTTTTAAAAAGTGGATAGATGGAAAGCTGACTTTTTTATTAAAAGATATGTCAATTTTAAAATTGAAATGGGAATTATAACTGAGTGAGCAATTGAAAACCCATGCTGAAGCGGACTGTCCTAGATCAGGGGATTTCCGACGTTCGTCAAACCATCTTTTATCTTACTTTTTTTAATAGTATAAATCGAAAATTTGACCTAGTAAATCGGGTTCTCTTCTTTAAGACTGAAGATAAAAATCGTTTTAACTAGGTAGTAAAATTAGCGATTTCCTACTTTGTGAAAATCATATAAAAATGCCATCATTAAAAAAAGTTTTTAAGTTCAAATTGGATCATTGTTTTTGAAAATACATGGATGTAAGTATTGATTGACACATGAATGACCTAGTTCGACACGATCACTATTCTATTATTTACTTGGAACATTTTATTTGGCTTAGCGTTGCTACTGTGTGTAATCGAGTAAGCTGGGGATGTCTCAAAGTATTCGTTTGTACAACAGGAGGTCTGTACCGTGGGGGTTTTCACTAAATGAATGGCAAAGGTCGTGCGCTGGCGACTAGCCATACCGAAAAAAATTGCCAAATAAATGTCATAAACAGGAATAGTAGAAAACAGGACTTCCAAAACCAGTTCAATAATCGAAGTTTATTACTGATTTTATGAAGCGCTAATGAAGATGGACAAATATTTCTTTTAAATGACTGCTTATAATCCTTTTTGAACCTCGCAACCCTCGCCATTATTAAGTGATAACCAAACTATACTCGGGGAACCACAAATATTCCAAGGTTATTTTATTTTGCTAAGTGTCTACTAAATATTTTGTGAATTTGTATACGTCATCCAGATTATTTAACAAGAACTAAACGTTAAAAGTTCTATTTAACATGAGAAACAAATTAACTGTGTATAGAGACCGAGAGATTACAACTACGCATCATCACGAATACTTCACATCATTAAATATCTGGTCCAGATTTTAATCAAAACAACTAAATATCACTTGTTACAACTATATTTACATACTTTAGATATCATCCATTTGGATTTCATTTTATCAAAACTATGTATTTTGATGAAAAGCGGGGTAATTCAAAACTTTCTTTAACCCGTTTGAACCGTTTGTTCATTACTTTAAAAAAACGCCTTATAAAGTTAGGGTTTCCAAATGATTTTGCATGTTACGTAACGAAAAAATAAAAGCAATAAATTTCGAATTTTGAAATAAAAAAATGGTCAAACATTTTTTTATGTAATTAAATTATGTACGTACTAAAAAAATACTAGTCGTCGCAAATGCTATTAGCTACGCAGTATTGATTTAAGAACACTCGAAGAAGGATACAAATGACGTAGAATGCGAAGTTACGCTTGTATATTGATTATAATGGTGGTAATGGTACACGGACCACGGAGTTCATAATAATTAATTAGACTAGAACGCGTACAAAATTATAATTGACATCCATAAAGAGTCCTGTACAGCATATTTAATCTTTTTTTAACTTGATATTATACATTTATTTTTTATATTAAGAAAATAGTAAATAAAAAATATAAGGGAAAAATGTATGCGTATTAAAAAAAAAACGAGATTTTCTTGAATATGTACAAATTTAGATTGGACTATATGTACTACTATAATATGTTTATTTGTATGAAATTAATAACAAGAACATGATGTGTTATAATATTAGCTTATCAAGCTTATAAAGCTAGTATTAGCTTTATAGCTAATTGAACAGTGGCGGAAGATGGTTAGTTTATTGATTATTTTTTTACCTAAGGGAATAATAGGTATAAAAATTATATGGAAATATCGAAACCACTTACATTTAGGTTACATAAATGGTAACTCTAAGAATAAAGAAGGCAAACTCAATGTCTATATTAAATTGAAGGGCATTAATAATTGATTTATTTTTTTATTTATTAGTTATTCTAACTCGATAATGTAAGAATATTGAATTCCAATTTCCATATTTAAAATAAACATTTTAAAGAAATAAATACATATTTTACTAAGCAAGAAGGCATAGCAAAATTGTATTGTATATACAAATTAATCAGCGAGCTATAACTTATGACAATACTAGGAAGTAATAAATTTAAAGCACAGTAGAAAAAATTAAAAATGTAAATTTAGAGACATCAATTTAATTTATAAATAAGGTATGCTATACATTTGAAGTGGGCCAATTTTTCCTTCAACCGAGCTATTTCTTAAAAAGAAAATGTGTATACATTGTATAATTACTTGGTAACTAAGTAGGGACAATACAGCTATACATATTACTCAAAAATTGGAATTTTGTTTTATGTTTAATACTGAACATTAAAATCAAAGTTTTTTAATCATACATTTCGACACAAGTCATAAAAAAGGGTTTATAAAATGTACCCCTTAAATGATGCTGCTGATAGATTATGGACTGAAGAAAAAGGTACAGTATGTGAGTTAAATTAAATTCAAGAAGAGGAAGGATAGAGAGGATAAATAATAATAGGTGTACAAAAGTAGTGGGTCCAAAATGTTTGCTATATAATTGGTATAACTTGTCTAAAAATAACAAAAAATAAATAGAAGATTGTACGAAATGGTGAGAATAAGATTTAAGAGATGTGCTGCTACAGAGGAATTCCTGGTAAAATGTACTCGTTATGTTAATACTTGAACAATTTATATTAGTCGATCGGGTAGATCACTGTGCTGTCTTAGCTGAGTAATGATATATCGTAAAAGATAATTTTAGCTTCGATACGTAGCTGAGAAGGTATTATATTATCATTGTAATTTTTTTTGTATCTAATGTCACAGTAACTTTTTTCCTGGAGGGCAAATTATTAACACGAGTAAAAAAATGTATCGATCCGTAATCGTATGCAATTGGTACTTTGGTGGAACAGTAGTAACTTTCATCCCTTCCCCTTCAAACCAAGAAATCACCCAAAAAATTAAAATATTTTTCAACTTAAAGTTACGGCATGCTATACATTTTTCATCAATAGTTAAATAAGTTTCAAATTTGTACAGAAATACTCTTCAGTTAATTTATGTACTTAAACAAATAAAAAGAAAATATACAAAAAAACCTTTCTTCTAGAAATGGAAGAAACTTTTTTATTATTTCTCTTTTCCCAGCAAACTTTTTGGACATAAGGTTTGAAAATTATACTGAAGATACATTTAGTGTTGGGCTATACTTATACAATTTTTTTTTAAAAATCTGTAGTTTTTTAAGGAAAAACCAAGAAAGAAGAAAATTACACTTTGACTGAAATAATTTTAGGTTGCTATGACTAAATTGAATCAACAGCGAAAAGATTTCTAAAAAATATATTCTTTGTACTGTTAAACACCATATATGGGTAACAACGGCAATAAATTATTATAGACAGACGACCAACCCTAATTATATCCATACTAATACTAAAAATACAATTTTAAGGACATTTTTGACAATACTTGAACAACAAAAAATACATATCGAAGCGCTTATTTGAAAGTAATTTTATCACTTTTAGTTATAATAATTTCTGTAGACCTGGGATCTCCCCTCTTCAATATGCTTTGTCCCCACTATACCTGACTCAATGTACTGGCTTTTTTTAAACATTTGATTATCTATTTAAAAATAGCTAAAATGATGTTCTTGTATTGAGGGGTTTTTAGCCTGGTGAATTAAATAATAATTAAAGCAAAGGGTATGTTATTTTAAATGTATGGTCGATATTAAATATGACTGTCAATGTGTAGTGTGTAAAAGTAGTTTAAATGAACGAGAATGCTATACAATACAACCAAATGTCAAAACGAAAACTGAATTTTCTTCCTAATAATATTAATACAAAATAATATATTAATAGGTATAAAATATCTGGTATAAATTATTTATTATTTATAAATATAAGTAATAGGTAACAAGATAATCTCCAAAATTAAGTATTAGAACTATCGTTAATTTCAGGGTGAAATTATTATGAATACCAAACTTAAAAGAATACATAAAAGAGGTTTTTTATAATACATTGAACTATTTGAAATTATAACATTCTTTTTTGAATGTCTGTTAAAAATAATAAGTATTTAAGAAAAACGATCAATACTTTTTTTATTATTAGAGAGTCCATTATAAGGATTTTTGTTATCAACACATTAAAATTTTAAGCTTTAACCCAAATAGTGTTAATAGAATGGGGCTATCATTAATATATTTAATCTACTTTTACCTCAATACCAGGTACCTATGATATTGTTATTAATAGATGTGTAATGATTTGAATTAAAGATATTACTTTTAATTACATAATTTCATTTTACATATTGGATAATACATCATTTTCCAACAACGCAAAAATGTATTTTCAATACCTAACGCAACATTTTTCTCAACAACACATACAATTCTCAGCAGAGCTTTAGAATATACACCGGATTATTAATTAGTTCATGCATTATATTATAGTATTGTACATTAAGTAGGTATATTAAAAGTATTAAAGTTTTAATACTATCATTTTAATAATTTTAACTAAGAACTGGTGTAATGTAATGCCACATTGATATAACTTTTACCCCATAGACACAACAGTTCAAAAATATTGTAATAAAATATACATAAATTAGAATATGTAGGCAATTCATTTATAATAAATGCTCAAGCTTACCTTATGCTAAATACCACAGCCACAGTTCATTTTTTAATTAAAAAATCAAACGTTATTTGTACAGAAGTTACATTTAGACTAGATCGGTTTAGTACTGATGTGACAGCGCTCGTCAATTTAAAAAATATAAGCAATGTAAAAAAAATACTAAACAAATTTAATCAGACTCGACGAACTACTTAAATTATAAACATTAACTTAACAATTTATATGGTATGGATAATAAATAATTTCATAAACTTCAATAGATACAAATAATGGGTACCTATTATTAAAACAACAGCAAACAACGTTAACGTTATACCGCAGATCGTTAGATTTCGAGTGGTAATTGTATAATCGACTCACAAGTTACAAATTCTGCTAGGATCGCTACAGCTGTTTTGCTCATTGGGGCTTGCGAGTTGCGCGAATACCAGTGTTTCTTAAAACACTATTTCCCATGTACAAAAAACCATGACAAAGTAATAGGTATGTCAGCAATTTATGATAACTGTAAAATGGCTGCTGGGTTTTCTGGCGACCGTTCATTTCTTACGAGTGAAAACCAGCTACCATACTGTAAAAATTGATAACACAACTTGCTGAAATACCTCTTTATTTTGTCGTACAAAAAATACTACCTCAGGTTAAATTATTTAATCTCTGATACTATAATTTTGTGATACCATTAATTTTGTGATCAGTACATACAGTACCTACTCTATTGATCAGTACCACAACGTTATCACAAGCATTGATATTTGATAGTAGCATAAAAACACTGCCATAATACAAAAAGTTATAATTAATAATAACAATATGTAAATTATAATAAGTAAATTGAATTCCTGAAGTTTCTTGGCATATTAGGATTTGTAATCGAAATTATTTTGTAATAAAACTAAGTTCGAAAAATAAATGTTTACACTTGTGCAGCATATTATAATATGTGTCAATAATGTAGATATATGTGTTAGATATAAAATTGTGTAATATAATATATTATTAAAGTATATAATGTAGTATAATAGTAATTTCTAAAATTCCAACATTGCAAATTTAGAATTTCTAAACCGCTTGTAAAATGGATGCAGACAGTCTAGAAAAAGAGAACAAGTCTTACAAACGACATTTCTTAGCACTGCTAGAACGTTGTGAAACGTTACAACAGGTATGTGTACACTTTTGAGTAAAGACCTGTTGTATCCATTTAATTTAAAAGAAAACATTTTTTTCTTGATTATGTAGTTATTGGTCTTTTTCTCATTAAATACGTTATTTCAGGATAATGAGCGGCTTGTGCATAGAATTCATAAAGTAACCAAACAAGTGAGACGTTTACGAGTAGAACGAAAGTAAAAAATAACATATTCTTTGGTGCTTATTTATAGTTACATTAAAACTGATAACTGCCTCTTTTTTTTAGATTTATCATGGACAGATTAGACAAACATAGAGATAATTGGAGAGAAGCTAAACTACAAGTCGATTTAGGAACTGAAGCGCAAATATTTGATGGAGTTAATACTAAAGTAATTAATATTTGTCAAACATTATTGTATGGTTTTTTAAATAAAATAATTTTGTTGTTAATAGAATCAAGGTATGTCTGATACTCCAAATGGTAAACGACATTCAAATGTTAAGTCTACAGAAAAGAAAGATCCTAATTTGCCAAAAAGGCCAGCTAACCCATTTTTTAGATTTTGTCAAGAGCAAAGGCCAATTGTACTTGATCAAATTATTATGTCTGGTGAAGGAGAACCAACTAAACAGGATTTAACCAAACGATTAGCTATAACTTGGAATACAATGGGTCATAATGACAAAAAAGTGAAGAATATTTTATCATTTATTCTGTATTATTTATATTTTTGGTTCCAAATGAGTATTAATTTGAGTAATTTTTAGGTTTACTACGATATGTACGAGAGATCTAAAGAAAAATATGCAGCAGACATGGAAGAGTATACTTTAACTAAAGCTATCAATGCTGTGCAAACACCTAGTCAATAGTTTTTTTTTTTTTAAATAAGACTATTTTAGATATTTTTATAATTTAATTGTCTTGTAATAAAACACAATATAATATTTCTAATAATAGTATATAATAATGTATTTATATTTTATAATAACTATAAATATTTTTAAAAAAATAGTAATTTTATAATGCAGTTAAAAAAAACCGCCATCCTCCTCATCGGTGACGGATTACCGACCCATCCTAGATAGCGAATTCGTCAAGAAACGATCTCATGATGGCAACGTTGGGCCTTCATGGCCCGTTAAAAGCTACATGATGATGATAATGCAGTTACAACAATTCAAATCAAACCTGGGCTTTATTTAAATAAAACTTAAATATTAAATACAATTTTATTTTTATTTTAACGAATTTAAACCAAATTATTTATATAGATTTTTAATTTTCTCTAAATATTTTTTTATTTAAATCAAAATAATGTTTAAATAAAAAATTCTCAGGTTTGATTTAAATTGCAAGTCTAATTTTTGAGGCAGTTTGGTGGCATTAGGAATGTAAACGGAAGAATATGGTGAGAATGTTAACAAAATTAGTAGGTTAGGTTGAACGAAAAAGAATACAAGTTTTAAACACATAAGTATAACTTCCATAAAAATATAAATATAAATATTTATTAAATTAAGGACATTTTAAATATTATTTTTATTAAAAGTATTATGGGTCCCTATTTCTAACAGATTTCATCACAAACAGAACTGTTATTTATTTTTATTAAATATTTTGTGTTTGAAATGATTATAATTGTTATCCTTTGAAATCGTTTTTCAATTCTCTCAATATACGCATTGTTTCAATTGAGTTACCTGGTGTTTTAGTAGCATTTTGCACGGAAGCTATACCAACTCTCATAAAAGGATTAACCAACTTTTCCATACCTAAAAAAAAAAAAAAATACAATCAATATAAATGAAATAATTGTTTAATATATAGTGAAAATAATATAAAATAACCAATAGTAGAAGGCACGCATGGCTCTTTTGCCTGTCTTTTGACTTCAACAGTTTTTAAGAGAGACAACAAATCTTCATTAGTCGGTTCAACATGTAAGCCAAATTTAAGGTTTTGTATTGAATATTCATGTCCACAAAATACAGCCTGAAATAAATTTTTAAATGAACTACAATGGTACAAATGCATTTATAGCAAGAATATATTATATCATTAGCATTGCGACATATATTATTCTTTCGCTCTGTCTGTGACATAAATATGTTGTTAAATATTCATCTCTCCATCCTTTTGGAAATAACTAGAAAATGTTAAAAAGAACACATACTGTGTTTTCAGGAAGTTTCGATAATATTTCAATTAACGCTTCATACATTTGCTGAGCATTTCCTTCAAAAAATCGTCCACAGCCTCCAACGAATAATGTATCACCTACAATTGAATAAATTAATTTAGTACAACAGAGTATGAAATCCGAATGTAATTTTATCATACAAAAAGTTGTGTATTGAGTAAAAATCGGATATTTTATTATCTGTAGTTTAAAACTGTGTTTATTTTTGAACAGTTGTCTTAGTTTATTTGTGAAGTCTGTAGGTATTAGTTATTACTCATAATTAATATAATTTTTAGTACAGTGTGTATAGTGTATAAAAATCTAAGTTTTTTCTATTAAAAGTAAAAGTTATTATTTTAGAAGTAGGAAAAAAAATATGCACAATAATTATTCCTTACCATACAAATTTTTTTACAATATAAACTTGTTTTTTCCGATGGAATGAAAATTCTTTTAAAAAAAATGATCAGCAGTTTAACTATCATCAAACATGCTTATAATATGGTTTTAATTGGTCAGAGACAAGGATGTGATTTTAAGCATTAAAATTAATAAATATAAAGTATAAAACTAACAGATTTCACCATATTATGTTGCATACCAAATTAAAGTTATAGCTGAAAATGTGAAGGTAGTTAATGATGTGCTTTCTCAATTATCGTTTTTTATAGTAATTATTGTTTATAAATAGAAAAATGCTTTTTAAGAAGCGAAACAGTGCAAATATTTGAATATTAAAATATCAGTTTATAATAAATACTTAAAATTTTAGACATATCTGAAGTATAAATTATTATGTTGAATCCACAGAAGGTTGCATGTTATTTTATACAGAGATTGTAAATGTTTCAAAACTTTTGTACTATTTTTAACGGAAAAAAAAATTAACCTGTGAATACCACACTGCCTTCATCTGTAGAAACATAATAACAAACGTGGCCTGTAGTGTGGCAAGGTGTACGTAAGCATTTAACGTCCAACAATCCTATTTTTAAATCTGTTCCTGATGTATCAATCATTTTGGTCAATCCATCGATTCTATCATCGCCTCCAATAACAGTTAGTGGGTCGCCAACATTACCATCAATTAGTTCTTTATTTCCACCGGCGTGATCCCTGAAAAATATTTTAAATTTAAATGCAAAATAGAGAAACAAGTATACGGCCTCAATAATTTTATTAAACTACAATAATATCATAATATCTTAAAAAGAAAGCTATAATTTCCTGGACATTTTTTTAAACAAATTTGAGAATGATGACCATATTGTAGTATGTAGTAGAATAAAGTTATAAGAAAATTAATTAACAATAACATCAATATGTACAAGTGACTAAAATTATTTGAATGTAGCATAAGCAAAACAACATAAACAGTTTTTTACTTTTTAAGGTAAATTAAGAATATCAAAGATTACTCTCCCATTGTGCTCACTAGATATGTGGGAGTTATTACCCATTATTTTACTTTTTATTATTAATGTGTTTTTATCAAACTTAATTTACTGGGTATTTATTATAATTATTTTCGAAATATTTATTTTTGTGTGTTTAATTCAAAAGTGTTTATTTAACATAATTGTTTTACAATTTCATCCTGGATATAGCCACTGGGGCAATATTTATTTTTCATTGTGAAGAGTTAGTCCCCAATTTCTTAAGTTCTATACACTGATATAGTCATTAGGCCAACTCTAATTATAATTAGAAAGAGTCCCTAATACGATTTAGAATCGTATTAGGAGTTAATCGCTAATTATAGTTCTAGCGTGGGATATTTTCACTGGCTTTGGTGAAATCCCAAAGAATTGGAGTCACTGACCATTGACTAACTTAGTGTGTTTTACGTTCACTGCTAAGGATGGACCAATATTATATGAGTGTTTTTGTGTTGTGTACAGCATACACGACAATATATTATACCGTATTCATGTCGTAAATATTAAATAGTACAACTTGGCTTTCTATGCGTTTATTCATAAGTGCAATTCCTATGTCTGCCAATAGCGCTTACCCGAATTCAAATTTTTCTCTAAAATTTTACTTGCATGTTTGTTTAGTTGTCTAGTTGTAATAATTAAATGTTGACAGTGATTGGGTAGTTAGGTGATTTAGGTGTTTACTTTTATTAACATTTTTATTTAGCCCGTACCAAAAATATAAATGATCACAACCCAAATCTGAAACTGGCAAGACCCAACAAATCAGCTTGTATGATTAAGTCAGTCTAGCTTTTTATCTAGGGAAGTTTACAGGTTACTGGGTTCAGAAGCAAAGTCAAAAATAAAATAAGGGTGTCCAGTAGAGTAAAATTGTTCCATAATTTTTTAAAATATTTTTTCTAATAACGCTTAAGATAATCAAGCACTGGTCTTTTCTAAGTTAATAGTGCAACTTTGAAGAGAAAATTGAGGAAGTAAAATTTATGTTTAGACTCATCCTAAAATAAAGTCATAGCTTCTTATAATCTTAAGACTTTCCTGACCCATAAAAATGTAACCAGCTCTAACACACCTTTAGCTTTTTGATATGTAGGTATCTCGTAACTGAAAATGTGACAACTTAAAATTGATTCGGTACAACTCGTTTTAAATTTACACTGATACGTTTTTAATGATCCAGTAAAAACAGATTGTGCAACAGAGTCTTACCAGTGATGATGAGTAGTAAGAATTGTTGTTAATTTTACATTTTCTCTTTTAACTGCTTCCCAGACAGTATTGGGTGCGACAGGATCAACTATTGCAGCTTCTCCAGTAGTTTTATCGATTAGTAAATACATAAAGTTGTCAGATAGAGCTGGCAACACTTGTACTTTAAACTGACGGCCAAACTCCTTTGTTATGATATTGCTATGCATGGTACTTGAGTATCTACTCACTGAAAATGGTAACATAAGAATATTTTACTATTCTTGAGTGTAAAAACTTACATAAAGATGAAGTATTTTTGGTGACTAGAAGAAAACTAAGTACTTTAAATGCCCTTTGCATCGATAACAATAAGTAATAAGTATAGTCCAGATGACACTACCTAGAATATTAGGTATTAATAAAATTAAGATAATACATTAATATGTACGTATTATAATAATAAAGTCAACATTTTTACGCACCTTAGTTTTATTATATAACAATTATTAAAATAATAAAATAACGTAACAATATTCGTGATGAAAAGATTGGACGTCGGTGTTATTAATTATTATTATATAATAGTATTAGTAAAATACTATGTTTTTTTTTAAATATACTGTGACACCTACTGCGGAGCAGTGTATTAAAATTTAGTTTATAATATGCATTAATTAAAGCCTTAGCCTGTAAGTAGTTACCGGTTGATGTAATATGCTCCCGCCTCCCTGTTATCATTTGGCTATCACCATAAATAAATAAAGATTGTTGTGAACTGTGATAACCTAATCTAAGCATGTAGACGGCAATTCAATTTCTATCATTAGTCATTACACTGTTAGTACTTTGTAGTACGCTGTACGAGTGGACGGAAAAACGAGTTAAAACAATATTGTCCTTAAAATTTGTAAAAAATAAATTGCCATATCTATACCTCAGAATCAGACAAACGTCAGTTATATTATGCCAATTTTTCAGGCAAGCATTAAAACTTTAATCGTCTAGCGTAAGCTCTTGTGAGGAAAACCACTGCTATGGTTCTTGTAAAATATAAAAAGTGATTTTTTAACGGAATTCTAATCATAAGGCTTGATGTAAAATCAGAAATATATTTTTAATTTTGTTATATTTTATTTAAAAAATAACATTGAATTCAGAAAAATATTTTAATTACATTAACTGTAATTTTTTTGTTTTAGTACTTAAGGTATATTATTTTAAAAAGGCAATTATGGGGGGGGGGGATGTTACACCACTTAAACCACCTGGCGATTTTAAATGTTTTTAACTCCCAAAATAAGTGCGAGTGGAGCAAAATTCTTACAGATTGGTAATCAGCATTAAAAGTACTATCGATTTAAAAAATCGAAAAAAACGGAGCCCGGTAAACTATGTAGATTTATACAGATTTACATAAGTCTTAATTATTTGAGAATGAAATTTTATCCCATAAACTCGATAGTACGATAAAATGTTTCATAGGTCAAATAAAAACATTATTAAAAAAATATTATTTTTGAACCTAGAAAAAAATACCCGGTCTTTGCACAGAAAAAATCTTGAGGGACAAGTGAATTGATAGTAGCTAGTAGCTACTATTTTACAAAGTCTTGAAAGTGGCTCACTATTTAAAAATCCCACCTCCTCTTTTGGTAACTATGTTAATGATGTACCCCTTTGATTAGTTCCTTTTAATGTGGACCTCTTTAGTCTTTAATATATTATATAGTCAGCCATTTTCCCGAATTCAATATTGTAAATTGCTAGAATATAGTCGACTAATGGTCTATTATCAACCCCGTTCATGCAAAACAAAATGAAGTCCAAAATAACTTTATCTTTGTTCCAGACTATTATTATTATTATAAAGAGCAATAGAAAAATAAAAAATACTACAGTTTGTTATCACCTGACAATGTCATTAGTTATAACAATATTTTATAAATAATTTAAAATTTCAACAAGTCGATAAGATTAAAGTAGTAGAAGAGTATAAGTCGATTTTACAGTACTGTAATGTAAAAAAAAAAAATATAAAAAAAAAAAAAGAAAAACTACAAAAGTGCACTTATATAATTCTGAAAAATAACGTTTCACCAGTCTTACATTACATTAATAACCTTGTTCAGATGAAAAAAAAAATTAAATATAAAAAAATCATCATAATAAACTTTTTCAAAATAATTATCTTTTATTTTGTGTTAGGGTGGGTGGGTGGTTTATGGCTTTAAAATTCGGAGTCGGCAAATTGCATTTGGGTCCCCCCAAAAAGGTCACCGTCATATACTGTGTAAATTGCGGCCCGGGTATATTTTATATATATTTTTAATATATATTTTATATTACGTTTCCATTTTATTATGCAATTGCCATGGAGTTATTCTTACATTCAATACAAATGTTTATAATCGTTCATTCAAACCTAACCGTTCAATCAATATTAATTATTTTTACATAATAACCGTTTTAATATTGTCTTTGATATAGTACAAGACCTTAACGACCTATCGCAAATATTATAAATAAATAATTTGATTTGTTAAAATAAATTTGTTGACGGTTGCTAAGTAAATTATTAATTGTCATTTTAGTAGCACAATCGGTGACAAATCAACGTTTTGTTTTAGTTTTGAAAAGTTGTTAATTTTTAACATGAAAAGACGCGATTGGAAATTTATCAAACTTTTTTTTAATTACCTACTTAATTGAAACCAGAAACTAGACGATGATTAATGGATGTTGGATGAATAGAAGAGATACATAAGGTATTAGCTGATGGATCATCTGAACGAGGTATGTAGCGTACATTAAAATTGTTATTGTTATCGTTTTACTTTTTTATAAATTTATTATTAATATCTAATAATATTATTAATATTTAATATTATTATTAGTGTTATTTATTATGATAATCTCTATTATCAGTGGCGAAACGTAATAGAAGACTATGCCCATTTTTATTCAATTTAAATATCAAATATTTGTTTACACATTTTTAACAACATATTTTAAAGACATACACTCCTGTTTATTAAAGGGTTAGGTACAAGCATTTTTTCGCAAAATCTTTGTTTTTATGCTTAAACCATAGTGTATGTTTATTAGCACAGCAATAAGGATTCTTTTTTGGTAGCTATTTAGCGATTAGTAGAAGTTTTTATACCTTTTTTTCTAGATATTCTAATGTATCATGAACGAAACCCTATTTTTTAAATAACCATAACTTCGTTACTAAGTACAATTTTGAATGTCTACCAACTTAAAGCTTTCTGAAATAATATATTCATTAGTTTTGATCATTAAGTTACTCTAACACTATTCAAAAGTCTATAAAAACCGTGATTACCTATGCTTTTTCTTTCTCTCTCTCTCTTCTTTGGTCCTCTCGGTCATTGAGACCATACATATTTCTTTCCATTTCTCCCTATCGACTTACTATCCTCCACTGCAAATCGGGTTCGACTTTTTTCACATCGTGTTTAAAACAATCTTTCCATCGTAGACGTGGTCTTCCCAGAGGCCGCTTACCGGTGATCTTTTATTCGATGGTGCCCTTACTAGAAGAACCTCGTTTTCTCTACGCATGACCGGCCCACACGAGTTTTCTCTTTGAAATTTCTTTTAGAAATCCGGCCTTTGAAATAACTTTTTTGAATATCTTGTATAATGTATTTTTCTACGTTCTCCTGTTTGGGTGTCGACACATATATTCTTCTCAGATGTTTTCTCTCAAATACAGCTAATCTGCTTGCCACTGCCTGTCCAATGTCTCAGAAACATATAAAACTATTAGACGCACCAATGTCTACCTATGTTTTTTATTTACAAAATGTATAAGTGCTCTGAAGAATCGCGCCACACTTTTGTCTATTACTACATCTATAAAATAATTGACAGTGATCGGTAAGTGTTTTAAAATTAAATAAATAAATTTAAATTTAAATGTAAACAGTGACCGTATTATTGTCATCATCATTTCCAGCGTACAGTCTATTATTACAATATCTACTGATTTTTTTTTTTTACAGTTCTTCGGCACAATTTTCTTTTAGTTCTTGGTAGGAAATGTTCTGCGCCAAATTTCAAAAGTCTCGAATTTTCCTCTATCTTATGCATTGTCGAGGACTATGCTTCATATAATGATACATAGAAGTTCTTTCCTTCATATGTAATTTTGATTATTAGATAAGTAAAATTATAACATATTGTCTACAGTTTGATACCACGTACGCTATTTATTTTCCCATTAACGCAAAGTAAAACTTTTCGCAAAAAATTCTGTTATTTTCCATATTTTTTTAAATTAAATTTTTTCATTGGTAGGGATTGGCTATTAGTTTTCAAGAGGTACAATTTCGACTGTTCATAGAACCATACTATATGAAAAGCAAATCCTTCACACAAGTCAAAAGCCGTTTGCCTTAAAAGTCTTAATGATATACTACCCAAGTTCCGCGTGCAGTCTGCGTTATAAACCAAACTTTACTTTTTCGGTAGGTTAGCTTCCAAAATTTTTAATACTTATCTCAGCCTTTAATTGCTTAAAACAGACATCTAAAAATCTGACGATACACAATTACAATTATTGTAAGCATAGCCAACACTATACTTTACTGGATAATTGTAACATAAAAATAAATATTTTAGTAAACGACAATTAAAAATTAATTATAATTAAGTGCGTACCATATTCTGTCATAAGTAACGACACTAGTAAAATATTATCTTCAGGAACGTCATGGTCTAAAAGTACTCTAATAGCCATCATTGCAGCTAAGCTGCACCAGTAGCTACTGTAGCATCCATCAATATCCCCATGTAGTCTTTAATGTTTTTAGGGAAACGCAAATAGTAGTGCTAAACAGATTAATAAAAAAATTAAATATCCAGAAATTATAAAAAATTGGCCCCCAAGCCAAAAAAAAAAATGTGAATAAGTAATATATTATATTCATTGTATTATATCATTTATACGTATGTTTTAAAGAGTTTCAACGCACTACGTTACTTTTCTAGTGGCGCAGTATCAAATGTGGAGGGGGGGGGAGCTACCTCAGGGTGCATTCTAATTTAAGGCGATTTGTACGGTTTACTATACACATTAGCAAGTAATATAGGGTACAAAAAAATGTAATGTAGGGCTCTGGGCACTTGAGTCTCTAGTTACACCTTTGTACGTTTTCTCATTTAAACGGACAACCGTCTAGAAAAAGGAAAGACCATCTCCGTAGTGTAAATAGGAGAGAGAAACTACTTACTTCACATCAAAATACATTCCCCATGGGTACAACTCGTGATGTTTATTAACAATAGTTCATAGTTGTCAAACTAATCTTACAATTGAATAAAAATAATAATACGATATGCATAGAGTGTATTATTTTTATGGTTATGGGTTTAAATATTAATTTCTCTACTATATGTATAACAATTAGTTGCTAAAGTTTTTTCAAGATTAAAAAATCGTGAAATATAGGTAGATTATTTATTTTTATTGCGGAAAGATTATTTTTTTGTAAATATTGTAAAAATGATCATTAACACGCTATATTTTTGCAAAAAAATGAGCAACTAAATTGATATCTATTTAGAGTGTCTCTTTATACATTTTATTTTATTTTTACACATTTTGGGTTTTTTTAAATTTGTTTGACTTTAGTATTCGTGTACCTTCCGGCTAAGTG